AACCCCATAAAACTAAGCCATATTTTACAGAGGGCAAAATTACTCTAAAGTAGAAGTTCCGTAAGATATCCTTAGGTAGAAATCTTGAACGTTTTAGCAGTTCTAATTTGTTGACAAAGTTCTTCTTTAGTTCCAACGCATGTGGTTTTCATTTTTTCCATTCATTTTTTAGCTTAAAATAATCATTAATCTTTCCTTTACTTTATTTCAAAAACAGATCTTCTCTAGTTTGCTTCATTTTTATACGCGAGCGCCTTTCTCAGACCTACCATTCTCACCTCGGATTTAGGCTGAAATGAGGGCACCGACGGCCAAAATCGATTTTCACGATTTTCTCAAAATAAAAGTGAAATTATTCAAAATGAACATCAGCACGTTTATTGCAATGGTATTCCACATCTTTGGACCAAATATGAAAAAAATCGATTTTTTCAACTTGGCTGCTGGATGTTTGATTCTTACAGACATAGCCTCTTAAACTTTCTGAATAACAAGATTTTGGCCTTGCACAACAGCCTTTCTTCAAGAAAATAATTTTTGGCGCTCACTGCTTGAATACGAAAAGAATTCTCTCTTAAATACTTTTTGCTTGGACAAGTTATTTTAGTATTTGCATTTTTCAGTATATCTCAGTGATACCACAGCGAGTAAACGTTGATATCGTCAAGATGCATCGCTCAAAACATATGAAAATGTTTTATCATTCAGCTATTCACTTCATGTATACATATTCTCTTGAGTCTTGATGTAGAATCAATACTAAAAGTGTCGTCTCAGGCATTAGGGGCACTTTAAGAATGGAGGTCCGCTTAAAAGTTACTATAATCATTTTTATAGTTTTGTAAACAAACACTAAGAAAATACTAAACGATTGTAAGTATCATGCATCAAAAACTTGTAGAATCTGTGAAATTTGACCTCACACAGTTCATAATACAGAGCATGGGTTTCCTGTGGTAAGCCTGTTGATCTTGTCCCGTGATGCTACGCTCGCCCTGTCTAAGACTTATCTTAGTGTTATTGCATACAATCACTATATAAGAAGGTCATGATTTTTGGAAGTCAGTCTTTCATTTTCTTTGCTTTTATAGGGAGTTTCCTAGAAATTCCATATTTTTGTACTTGCCATTCTGTTCCAACGTTTTTTGGTCGATTGAACCCGGATGGATCACTTCGGGATGTACGTAGTCCTCAGTATCGGCTGAAATATTTTGACGTCCCTTTGAACCCAAGTCAGGTCGAGGCGGAAAATCAAGTCAACCTTCTTCGAATTCAACCAGAAATTGTCGATAATGGCGAAGAAGTGGTTGTGACATGGAGAAGCTCTTCAAATACGAGTGAAGGCGATTTTATTGCATTGTACTGCCCTCCAGAAGATATAAACTCTGCTTATTTGGATTACTTTTTCTTGAATGAAACCGATTCGGATTTAAAGACTGGAAAAGGAAATATCAAGTTCAGGTTATTCAATATGAGAGTAAATTGTGAAATGCGCTACTTTGAACATGATGGCTTGAGCACCCGTCTAGCAGCTCGCAGTAATACTATTCGATTTCTTGGTGGTGACATGCAACCATTACAAGGACGCCTGGCGTTAACCGGAAAACCAAATGAGATGAGAGTTATGTGGAATTCAGGCTCAGGTTTGTTATAAAATTCATGTTCCCTTTTTTGCACCTAAATATATAATATACAAGCTTATGTAATATATTTCATGATATTTCATTGTCAGTTGAATTTGAATGAATTTGTGGGCAGGTTCAAGTTGGGGCAGGTTCAAGTTGGGGCAGGTTCAAGTTGGGGCAGGTTCAAGTTCGGGGGGGGGGGTATACTCGGGCAAGGGGTGGGGATTTGAAAAAGAGCTCTTACCAAAATTAAAAATGCCCCAGGGTAGGGAAGAAATTGTCAATCAAATTGTTCAAAAAGCCCCACGCAATGAGCAATGTTTGCRATGGAGTGTGAAAGAAATATTAAGAAAAAACAAGATTTATTCACCTTTTTCTTTGAGCTCATTGGTCCGAGGTTTTGCTTATTGACCTCACCCTTGAAGGACTTTGTTGTAAAACAAGAACTAAAATGGTTTGCACATATAATACGCTCCTCGAACCGCAGATATATCAAGAAGCTATCTTTTATAGATACAAGCAACAAAAGAAGGCCGTCCAATAAAAACATTGATAAGAACAACCTACCAAAGATTTCAGGAATATCAACCATCACAGATTCTGAAAGAATGCTTTAGACGCAACCATAATAGCTTGGCTTCAAAGTAGTTGAACTTGAGTAGAGTGAGAGCTGAATGTTTCTCTAAGAGAAATGAGCAATACATTGATTGATTGATTTAGAATGTTACCACAGGAATCCCGAGCGCTTTCAAAAATCAAATATCACGACCTATGGGACAAGGTTGTGATCAAATTCTCAACCAGGAGAACATGATTGCTGTCAAATCCCCACCCCTTGCCTGAATACCCCCCCCCCCTCCCATCAGTTTGATTCAAATAATAATAATAATAATAAATTGTTGAACCACTTGAGCCAATGCCAGTTTTATGTGTTTTGTATGTTGAGTGATAGTGACTTAATTACAGTACAATATTAATCATTAACAATTTTTATTTATTTAATGGATTTAGTATAACATTGCACTCTATTACAGTGGTACCTCTATTAAGTTGCCGCCCTGTATTTAGCGGCCACTTTTCAAAGTCCCAAAATATTTGTCACTCAAGTACTGTATACCTCTTTTCAGCGGCCACCTCTATTAAGTGGCCGCAGCCACTATTTTCCGGTCCCAAATGCTATTATTACCTCTATTAAGCTACCGCAAAATCCTATTAATGATTCTTATTACCATTTTGGTGACAGAAAATGTTGTGACAATTGATAACAACAGGAAATTCTTCTTTAATCTTTGTTGTGACAAGCTGACAAGATGCTATTACGAGTCAAAATTCAATGGTGGTTCTTTGAGAAGCATTTTTACAGTAGTTTCAGCAGAAATTACAGTGCAACAGTGAAAGTTCTCAAAGAGTTTCTATAGAGAGTTACAAAATGATTTAAGTCAAATGTTGTCATAATCATAGTCAAATTGCTAATACACAATCAATAATAGCATTATCTAGCCATTATTTGGTTATCTGGTGAAAGCGGCCAACCTCTATTAAGCGGCCACTTGGCTTGGTTCTGAGGTTGGCCGCTTAATAGAGGTACCACTKTATTATACATTTTTTCTAAGAACATTCAGCCAGTCTCCCCAGCCTGATAGCTTGTGAACTTGACATGATAAATACATTATCTGTAGGTTTTTCTGTAGATGATACATTTATCATGTCAATTTCATTAAAGTTTACAACAAATTGGGTGGATGGATGGATTGGGTGACTAGCACCCCCCTTTAAGTTATTATTCGTCCTCTTATCTGACTTGAAATGAAAAGGATATTCAAAAAATTAAACCAAAAATTGAAATTTCTTTAATTTCTGTCCAAAGGTGTTTCCATGGCAACACCTTCAAACATACAAACTGACTGTTTTACCCCACCATAACAAACATATGTTTCAGTCAATTTGTTCTAATTCTCCCGGATGTATTCTCTATTTGATAATTTGAATTTTGTAGTAGYGTCCTTTAATGACGTCATCATTTTGTACTTTTTATATTGAACGTCTCAGCAACGAAAAGAGATATCAAAGAATAAGAAACACCATTTTTATTTATTTTAAAAGGGTTTAAACAACAAAGGCATCCTGTAGACCTTATGATATGCACATTAAAAATCACTGCTTGACTTCCCTATTGGGGATCTTTCACCGCATCTAGTGTGTAAGCTAATATTAGAAGTTTTACATAAAAGGGTTTGGCAAAAATGTTTTTTCGAAATACCTATTGCTTCACCTTACCTGAGAGTAAATAAATAGAACTTAAATTATATCTTTCAAATAACATAACCATGGGCCCTATAGTGGAAAACATTGTCCTGCAGTTCAGTACTATATTCTCTATCAGTTAGCTCTAAATGAAAACCTTCATTGTAACAATAATGTTTATAATCAACTATTTTTCCTTGCCAGATTCCATGCCTGTTGTGATCTATGGTTTGAATGAAACTAGTCTTATCTTTAAGGCTACTGGAAGTACTTCAACCTACAAAGCAGAGGATATGTGTGGAGAGCCTGCAAGTGGTTTAGGTTTCAGAGACCCTGGTTATATTCACGATGTTTTGTTAACTGGTCTGAAACCTGGAATCAAATACTTTTACCAGTATGGTTCTGCAGAGGTCAGTAACAATAAGTAAGGAAGTAATGAAATAAAATAAGAACCCTCACAAGTTGGGAGCGTTAATGTTGTTTTTAATTACTGCGAGACTATTGTCAGGGTGACATCCACAAAGCTTTACCTATTTCATGCAAAAATATTGTTCCCATATTTTGAGCATTGCATAAATTAATAATCAAGTAAAGATAGATACAGTAGATAGATACACTTTATTTACGACGATAACGAAATTTATCGTCAATAAGAGGACAGACACAGCCTACATAGCAGGCAGTTTTGGGTTACATTGAATATATAGAGGAATTACATGGGAGCGCGGAGATACAAATTTTATCTTCGAGTGTTCAATTGATATTTATAAAATAATTGGGATTATCATATAATTATCCATAAAATACCTATATTTCTCCTTTTCGAAAAACTGATATTTTCACATGTGAAAATAACATGTTATAATATCGTTACCATGTGTATTTAAGGTATTAGTTTATAAATAAGAACTTTTTATAATAATAAAAAGCTTGTTAAGTTGATTTTATGGATAAATATATATAATAAACAGAATATTACATGGGCGYTTGGAGATACGAAATTTATCTTCTCGTGTTGAAAATCTGTCACTGGTTCGCTGCGCTCACTTGTGAGAGATCTCTTCAACACTCAAAGATAAATTTCGTATCTTTTCGCGCGCCCATGTAATATCCTCTATATCTATATCTAAATTTAACACGAGAAGATAAAATTCGTATATCCAAGCGGCCACGTAGTGTTCTGTTTATTTCCTCGATATCTTACCCTGGGTGCCAGAGGCCGTGTGCCCCACACGGCCTCTGGCACCCAGGGTATCGATATCTATACTAGTGATAAGTTATCTTTCGTGTTATCATTCGTCATGGTGCGTAAATACTGGGGCGAGAACAAAAAATCAAATTAGGGGTAGGGGGTAGGGAGGGGTTTTTTCCTCTATCCCCGCCCCCACGTGTCCCTTTTTTTAGTTTAAGCGAAAGTAGCGAAAAACTACCCCCAAACGCCTGCTAAGCAGACTAACAGACAAAAAAACTGTTGTAAATTTGTTTTCTAATTTAGATTAAAGTGAATGGTGAAAGTAAAATCGGAAAAACTAAATAATTATTTCATTTTTAATTCGAGGTCAAGATAATGTCCTCCGCAATACGAAAGAGTAAAATAATCGAATCTCGACGACCTTGCTAATTTCCCGCACAGGATTTTTGTAACGCATACACGACCCACCGCCAGCCACCCCATATAGGGCTAGAGTTTTTAAAAAATGAATCCCCCATCGTAGGGATCATTTTGATCAAGTTTTTTGTGGAGTTCGAGGACGATGGAATCGTGGTTTAAAGTGTGTTGTTTTGTCAAAGATCGCGACTGTACTTTCCTCTCATATAAGAGTATATATAATAAGAGCGACATAAGATACCATAGGGGAATTATATAGGAAAACAAAGGCGCGCGCAAAAAATTGTTCTAGTGCATTATATATCGATTTTTTACTCTTTCGTATTACGAACGTCGAACTTTCGTATTTCGAACGTCCCCGTATAGTAAATATAAGGGAGTACCCCCCCCCCCCTACCTCCCGGGAGAGCGCGCGCCCGTTGACGACAGCTTTTCTTTCAGTCCTGTTATCCACGATAAAAAATAACCAATCAGCGCGCGAGAAATTCGTAATAAACCGGCTTTTTTTTAAATAGCCAGTTTATGTACTTCTATTATCGTTGAAGCGTAACCCACGAAGATTGATGTCTCGTTGGCCGACTAGCATTAAACGACCGTCAATCAAAGTTCAGTTCAGTTAAAATCTAGTAATTATTTCGATGGTACTTGTGTAGTATTGAAGTTTTTTCATCTTATTTCAGGCAATGAGTAAGGTGTACAATTTCACTGCTGCCCCTATACCTGGAGCTAATGTCTCATTCAAATTTGTTGCTTATGGTGACATGGGTGTGTCTCCATCTCCTGGTGCAGTCGTTACTGCAAGGTATTCTTTAGAGGAAGTCAAAAACGGAGCAGAACTTGTTCTACATGTTGGTGATATTTCTTATGCAAGGGGATATGTGAGTATCTAGTATATAGCAGATAGCTAGCCCAAGGTGTCTTGAAAGAGTTTTCTTGGAAACCCTCTGGCTACGTTCAAAGCGCTTTTTGCCAAAAATATATATTTCCCCGCTTTCTGATTTAGATTGGCCGACAACTGGAGTAAATACTACTCTTCCCAGTAGACCGAGGTAGTTGTGATTTTTTAATCGCCTTCGTAGCGTCTGTTATGTTATCCGCAAGTACATTTACACCACGTGATCAAAAGTCAGTCAAATTTTAATCACGTGGTTTAAAAAACTTGTCCTCGTGGTACGACATTGGCCTCACGTGGTCTATTTGAAATGTACTTGCGGATAACATAACAGACGCTACGACGGTCTACTGGGAAGAGTAGTAAGACGTTACCAACAAATGACGTCAATAAATTACGAATCATTTAAACAACTAACATTAATATTTTCGAAATTGAAAAGATCAATTATACTTTTATGTCATACCTTTCAGCGTTTTTGTTCTTTTAATTAAAGAAATGTAGAGATACTTGACAAAACACTGGAGTACCTTGGAGTACTTTCAGGTTCAGTACAGATCCTACAACTGGCTACTTTTATTTGCCAAATTACTCGAATATGTCTTCATCAAATGCTAAGGCAATACCTTAGTATTAATATCACAAGTACCAAAAGTATAATTACAAAATAGATGCACTATAACAGCGGCGTAACCAGGGATCTTGCAGGGGAGGTGCACAGCCAATGATTTGCAGAACCAAAAAATTGAAAAAAGGTAACCAAAAGAAATTTACCGAACCAAAAAAAAAAAAGGAATACTGGGTGAGTGATTCTTAACAATGCTACAATATGCAGATGGCAGTCGTGACTTCCATCATATTTTCAACCTACTTCCAACATAGACTTCCAACTTATTTCCAGCATATTTCCAACATCTCAAATCGATAGATTTTTCCAGTGTATGAAGCAATATAATAATAAATTGGAATTTTTCACTACCGAGTGAGGTTCCGTTTTTTAAAAAAAAAACGTTTTCAATGTAACTTAACCGTTGTATGATTTCATTTGAATGTAAAGGCATACTTGTGGGATAAATGGCATGCACTGATAGAGCCCTATTCAACCTTAGTGCCCTATATGGTTGGCATTGGTAATCATGAACAGGACCATACGACAGGAGGCAAAAAAGATCCTAGTGGTGCTCCTGGAGAAGGTTTTCATCCCTCCTGGGGCAATTTTGGTGATGACTCAGGGGGGGAGTGCGGAGTTCCAATGTACAAGCGGTTTCATATGCCTGATAATGGAAATGCACTTTGGTGGTAAGTGGATTAGTTTAAATTTGGTAATCGATGGTTGAAATTGGGGATTCAATTTATGCAAGAAAAATAACTAGAGGAAGAAGGGTATGATATGGTGTGGTTCACAGAAGACAGGATCGGGAAAATTGAAATCCTCCCCCTTCTAAAGCAAATAAGAAAGTACTTGCTTATTGATGGCACCGGAACAAGCTTCATTGACAGCATGATGGGGTCGTTTCCCTAAGTGCACTTCTTGGTTTTAATCTCCTGCACAGCCGCTATTAGTTAGTGCTCGATTCTCTCAGTATCCTATGATTCTAGCATTTTTACATTCAACAATAAGCTATTTATTAATTAATTAATTTCTCCTAATAGGTACAGCTTTGATTATGGAAGTGTGCACTTTGTTATGATGAGTACAGAACATAATTTTACTAAAGGTTCCGTGCAGTATAAATGGTTGGTTAATGATCTTGAAAGTGTTGATCATACCATAACACCCTGGATTGTATTTATGGGACATCGACCAATGTACACAAGTCAGTTGGTAAGTTTTAAAAAGAATAACCCACTTAGTACATATAATATATAATGGTATGCAAAATCTAATGTGAAAGAACCATGACCTTGTATCCGTGCAAAACACAAAATACAATATCATTTGTGTGTTTTGATTCAAGGGGTTAAATAAGATAAGTAGCTGCAATTGAGTGTATGAGGATATATCACATTTACCTTGACTGGTTCTTTTTGTTATAATATGCAAACATAATATGCAAATATATCAAGGTTTGAAGATTCTTGAAGTTTTGAGGTTTGATAGGAACGCATGCGCGAATGGATAAAGCTGAGACTGTAACTTCTTTACATGATAATGAACATCTCCGTTTTAAAGGAAATCGATTGATTATTGCCCATATTTCATTTCTTTTTCTTTATTAGTACCGTATCCTTTTATCCTCACTTGTAGAGGTTTTTCAAAAGAGAGGTCCCCTTTCTTTTGAAACTTCTGCTTCCAGATTATTTTTCGGCTATTCTATCGGCTATTTTTACTTCTCATTAAATGACTATGTACCCTATGCAACATTTTTATACCGTAATCCTATTAATTACTACCTCTCTTTCTTCGCTAATTCACTGTGTCATGTAATTCATTTATTATTATTATTATTGTTGTTGTTGTTGTTTGTTTTAATGTGTGCCCTTCATAATTCGGCCCTAAATATTTCATTTGCTAATTAACTAAATAACCTTAACATTAGATTATTTGTGTTTAGGTGTTAGGACAAAATCCAACTATCGCACTTCATTTGCAAATTGAATTAGAAGATGTTCTTATGAAGTACAAAGTTGATCTGGCTCTATGGGGACACTACCACAGCTATGAACGCACATGCCCTGTCTATAAACAGCTTTGTACACCTCATGCTCCCACCCATATAATCATTGGTACTGCTGGTTATGATTTAACATTTGATCCATGGCCTGATCCAGAAAGAAAATGGTCAGCTTACCACTCATCAAATTTTGGATATGGAAGAGTTACAGTCACTAACAGCTCGGCTCTGTTGTGGGAATTCGTGCTTAACCTCAATGGGAAAGTCGAAGACCGTGTTTGGCTCATTAAATAGTTCTGTGACCCCCATTTTTTATTTCAGATTTCCATTTTCAATAATATAGTTTCAGAAAATTGACAAAACGACTTTGTTCGCAAACGGCCTTAAGTCGTTAAATCTACCCTAATCTATCTGCAAACGTCCAAATTTCACTTCAACTTAAAAGCATTACTCGTTGGATATGGAAAGTTTCCCGTGATGATTCTAACCCGTCGTAGGCTTTCAGGTTATTGGCAGTTTTTGATGACTATAACTCTATTAGAATAATGTATTCTTTTTAAAATTAACTTGAATGCGAAGCTAACATAGAAATACAAAAGAAACCACTTTTTTTTTTACAATGGAATTTGAGGCATTTCTTTTGTATTTCCATGTTAGCTTCGCATTCAAGATAATTTTAAGAATGGTCGATAATATATATTGCATGATGTAATGATAAAAGCTATTAGTATAATTTTAGACTTGAAATTAGAGTTTCGTGCGCTGTGATTGGTCGAGAGACCAGTGATTATGAGACGATATTCACTGCTCGAGCGGCAATCATGAGGTTTTTCAGAGCGGAAGTAATACTAAACGTTTTTTTAATGCTGAATTTCGTCTTTTGTCTGATATTCAATTCTAAAATTATCGGTCGAAGACTCGTGGCTCGGAAAATATTCATCGATAATCACTTCGCCTTCGTCGAATAATCGCAAAATATACACCTATTTCAAAAAACGTCGTCGGATATCTGAAATCTGAGACAGAAAGGAATTGTGGGTTGTAAGCTGTAAATTGTTTGTGGTTTTAATTAGTAGTTTGCAAAAAGTTAATATCTTGATAAACTAACTTTGAGCAATGACCTGCACTGGCAAACTATGTGGGTAAGTGTATATTAAATTTTTAACGAGAAAACATGCACTCAGTCCCCCACAAATCCAATCGGTCTCAGGTTTCTGATTTCAAATATCCAACCGACAACGTATAGGTGTATATATATGTATATAGGTGTATATGTATTTAGTTCCTTGTAACTTTTAACAGTGTAATAATGCATATAACATTGTAATAACTGTAATATATTAACACTAAAATAATGTATATAACAATTTAAAAAAAAACTAGAACTGATATGCTGCTGGGTATCTTCACAATAAATCTTTATTAGTATTTTCACACGAGTGAATATAACAAATCCGGCGCGCTCATTGGTCACAATAGACGATTTGCACCAATAGGTCACGTGACTCCATTCCCGGTAAAACTAGAAATGAAAAGAGCACCTCAACTTTAGTAAGAGGGCAAATGTTGATTATAGAAGAAATGACAAATATAAAATCATATATTATACAAGGATTTGTATAGGAAAAGTGTTAGCTGGTAAGCTTTTGCCATCCAGCGCATTTCCCATCAGTCAATAAGTGTTAAATAAAACATTCAATTTTATATCTAATACCATTTCTCCTGTCTCTCTTATTATGAGCTGACACTCCGCCTCCCTACTAATGCCGAGATGCTCTTTTCATTCTTGTTTTTTTATTTTGACAAAACTGCTCGTTTTAAGGGAGGTAGGGTGCGAGTCGTCTATTTACATCTTGTGCTGTTTTGTTATATAGCTACGAAATTTTCCGATATAACTACGAAGTGACACTAGCTAAATCTAAATGTATCCTGAACGGTCGCCCGACCGGGAAATAAATAACTTATTTCCCGGTCAGGAAATACGTTGCACGTGAAAGGAATGGTAAAAACAAACAAGTACACGTGACCAGAAAGTGAAAAACGCTGGTAAATAAAGTTCTTATTTCGTCAACTGACCTCTCAATATTTCTTAATTGCTATATAACGAAACACTTTGTCTTAATGTCTGGTCCCTCATTGAAATGAAAGGAGCATGGCTCATTGGACGTACTTAGAATTCCATTGCCAATAGAGACGATGATTGTGCAGCTTTTGAGTAGATAATGACAAGTTGCTCATTTATTTTATCTGTTCTTCTATTCTCTTCGTCTTTTTGTTAGTATAAGTAGTTATTTTCGATTTCCAGGATTCATTTAACAATTTCTAGCGAAGCCCTGCTCTTAGCTTCCCACCAAAAGTCAACATTAACACTCAACGCTTAATTTATGTGCCTAAAAGCCCTAAGTAAAAACATGAAAAAGGGTTAATCTCAAAACAAAAACAAGCAAACAACAGACAACAAAACAAAAAACAGCTTTAACTAGTCCTAGAGCTGAAATGCTCCTAATGAGTGATAACATAAAGTAACTGAAATCCTTAGAAACTTGTTTTGCTGCTTGATTTACCTATGATGAGCCTTGCCCGAATTCGCTTGGATGACCACGAAACAATGGTTTGAAGTCGAGACTGAACTTGATTCTTTTATTCACCAAGTTCGACCTCGACTTGAAACCATTGTTTCGTGATCAGTCAAGCGAATTCGGGAAAGGCCTATTGAATCGTAGCAGCTAGCGATACAACTGTGATACACAGCCTCACCTCCAATCAATCACACTTTGGTAATGGAGCAGTTTCAAGCTCCAGATTACCTTTGTGTTCCTTGATCACAGACTCATTTACTCAGGGTTAGCCTCGAATCAATGTCTAAATATTCACAAATAGATACCAATATTAAAGTAAAGAATGTACATTCAACTTCAAATATACAAACATTTCACTGGAACACGTGTACCTAACAACAGAGAACGCGAAACTGGAGTATTTGGCGGCATTGATTGACAACCTCTTACGTGCGCATGCGTAATCAGATTATACACAGGAACCCTGTAGAATATGTCCGCACAATCTCTACCCAGAGCCTGCCTTTCTACTTGCCTGCGGCAAGAACGAGGGTTCTGGCATAATCCATTTTATGAGACCGGTCATCGTTCATTCGTTGATATCTATCGCCTTGAAATTTGATTTGGTTGGTTAATACAATAAGCATATATGTAACGTTTTCACACTACCTTGACTCAGTCATGATCGACGACAGATTGCAAAAACGTGTAAGTCTGCGTTGATCCATAGCTCCTATTAGGAAACATTTAAGCCTGGAAACAACCAAGACCATCTGATTAATGCATTTGAAATCTTTAAACATGCTAAATTATGCTTCCCCTTATTACTTTGATACAGAATGTTGTTAACTACTGGGGAAAGGGGTGTGTGTGTATTATTTCGGGGGGGGGGGGAGAGGGTAAGCAATAACTATAATGCTATATAGGAATATAAGGGTCTGTAATGAAACTTTCGACATGTATGCAGCACCTTTCCCCCTCTTTCCTTAAAGCCATGATAAAGATCATGTCCTTTCTATACAAGGATTATTGTCGCTTTAATAATAAACGACGAGAGATTGACAATAATTTTAATATTTTCGTGCTAGACTCCTGGCAAAGATCCTATTGTAGCGTCCCACATGAAGGAAGAACTAGAAGATATTCTGTATAAATACAACGTGGACATGACTCTTTGGGGCCATTATCACAGCTATGAGAGGACTTGTCCAGTCTACAAAGATAAATGTACTCCTGGTGCTCCAACGTATGTAGTGGTCGGCACAGCTGGTCATATTCTGTCCATAGCTCCTTGGCCCTGGACACCCAGACCATGGTCTAAGTACCATGCATTACATTATGGGTATGGTAGGGCAACGGTGGTAAATAGTACTGCCATGTACTGGGAATGGATTAGAAACTTCGACCATAAAGTTGCAGACAGTTTTTGGATATTAAAATGATAACTCAACGCGGGTTTGCTTAAGTAACCAGATTGTGTGCATCGTCGTTTTAAAAAAAACGTGTTTTTTTAAAAGGCGCCGGCTGGCTATTTTAGCATAAAATAATTAGAAAACTAAAAATCAAAAAAAATTTGACACAGAATTTAACGCCAGTGATTCAAAGTAAAGAAACAGAAATTAACAGGGTATTTACAGCTACTCGTTCTAGAGATGTTCAAATTTGAATATTACCTTGAAGTTAAAGAAAAATAAAGGAATCCCAGCTTTGATCGCATAAAATAAATCATGGCTTGAGAACCAAAAACTAGAATCTACTAGAACTGGGAATTCTAATTGCAATTTGGGAATCGGACACGGCGCGCGAAGATAATTTGAAATACGACGAAATTTGACGATACGGCGGCCATCTTAGATTGCAAAGCATTGTGGGGCGTCCAGGCAGAAAAATGAAGCTTTAATTGTTACAGTAATGACGTCGATATTAACAGCTCACCACAACAGAATACAACAAAAGACGGCACCTTTACCCATAAAAGAAAAACAAACACATTAAACTCCACACATTTTCCGCCCTTTTTGTTTTGTTTCGCAACCTGGCAAAATGACCACTGTATCGTCGAAGCCGTCCATTCGTCCATTCGTACGCTATTTTACTTCAAAGAAACAACGAATGCATGAATTACCCGACTTTTACCAGCTTTGCAATTCAATTTTGTTTTATTCAAATTTCTTCTATTAGTGTGTTCAAGATGGATCTCATCGGATTAAAAAAAATGCAATTAAAATCTAAGATTAAATTGAAATTAAATCAAAAACGCAAATTGAATTTTATCAGCAGTTTTATTAATAAAAATTCTACCTCTTACCCTACGCAACCCGCTGCCTTGACCCCTGACCCGCGTTTTAGCACCGCTGGCATTGGCACAAGTTGAGAGAAGGGGTTAGCACGTGCCACCTAAATCTGGTGGCCCGCATCTCCTGGCCCCACAAGCATCTCGTGGCCCCTCGAACATAACATGGGAACGAAGCATGCTATGGTAACGAAACTTGGTAGCATTGGTGAGACTTGTGTTGTCAATTATGAGACCACGTGACATGGTGAAAAAGGTGAGGCGAAGGTATGAACGTCGTTGAAGAGCGACAGGACTTGCTTCAGACAAAGTACTATTTTCTAGGCAATGCGCTGTTGTTAACAAGATGCTGTTTCCTTCTAAACAGCAGTTTTTCAGTAGTGTTATCGCCGATAATGGAAATGACCAACGTGCTCTTTTTAAGATTGTGTCCGGGCTACTCCAGCCTAAACAAAGCTTACAGTAYCCTCCTAGTYCTGACGACACCTGTCTGGCAAATTCTTTCATCCAGTTCTTTTCTAATAAGATTGAGCGTATCAGACAGGACATTTTTAAAATTCTTCCTGTTCAGCCTCGACTCCAACCAGACTCCTGTTAATTGTTCTTCTGTCTTTCGAAATTTCGACGCTCTAGGCTATGACGAGGTTTCACATTTAGTTGGGTCCACAGCTAAGTCATGTAGCCTAGACCCTATTCCTGCTTCTCTTCTATGGAATGTCTTGATCTTTTAATTCCAGTGTTTATAAATATTATTAATCTATCTCTCTCCCAGGGCGTATTGCCTGATTCTCTCAAGATTGCTAAACTGACACCTATTCTTAAAAAACCGAATGCTGACTTTGAAGTTTTTTCTAATTTTCGACCTGTTTCTAATCTACCATTTATCTCTAAACTAATTGAAAAGGCTGTTGCTCAACAGTTGAATGATTATTTAACTAAATATAATCTGCACGATCCACTTCAGTCGGCTTACAAAGCCATGCATAGTACTGAGACAGCTTTGGTTCTAATTCATAACGACATCCTTCAATCTATTGATGCTGGTAACTGTGTCATCCTTATTTTTCTTGA